AAACTGGGATTCTAATAGAAATTCCACCATTTTTAGCCGAAAGTTCTCTCTTCGCTATGTCTGAATTTCAAGTACACACTTCCGCTAATTTGGGAGTTGTGATGGTTTTCCTGGCACAACTGCAAATCAGGTGTGATCTTGAATTTCAGGTGCAAGTTCAAAAATATCTTAAAAATTAGCCGATGTTCAGATTTTAATAAAATATTCGCCATTTGCAGCTTAACCTTCCTCTTTATTTTTTTGCCAACGTTTCAAGAATTTGGGTGTTACAATTTTTTCTTGAGTGCAATTGCAAATCGAGACGTTTCAGGTGCAAGTTCAAGAATTCATAAAAAATCAGCCGACGCTCAGATTTTCATAAAATTTTCCGTATTTATAGCTCAAATTTTGCTCTTGGCTGCCCCAAAATTTCCAGTCGCCACTTTTATTAACTTGGGAGTTACAATTTTTCTTTAGCTCAACGGGCAATCAGGAGCGTAATCGAATTGTGCAAGTTTAATAATTTCTGAAAAATCAGTCAATGCTCAGATTCTAACAAAAGTTTCTCCGTTTTTAGCTGAAATCTTGCTGTTTAGTGAACCAGACTTTGAAGTTGCCATTTGCACTATTTTGGGAGTTATTATTTTTTTTAGCTCAAGTGAAAATAAAAAATTTGCAGATGCAACTTCAACAATTTCTGAATTCATTAAAAATCAGGCAATGCACACATTCAAATAAAGTTTTGTCGATTTATAGCTCAGACCCTCTTGTTTAATATACAGAGTTCAAGCTGCCATTTACACTATTTTGGCAGTTATGCTTTTTTTAGCTCAAGTGAAAATCAAAATGTTTCAGATCCAAGTTGAAGAATTTCTGAAAAATCAGCCGATGCTTATATTGAAATAATTTTTTTTCCAATTTGTAGCTCAAACCCTCCTGTGTAATGCGTCAAAATTTGAAAGTGCGTTTTCCACTATTTTGGAAGTTATGATTTTTTCAGCTCAAGTGAAAATCAGAAGGTTTCAGATGCAAGTTTAATAAATTTTGAAAAATCAGTAAATGCTCAGATTCTAATAAAAGTTTCTTCTTTTTTAACACCAAAAAATGAAAATAAATCATTATGGACTAAGTTGTTGTGTTAACCACTCGCTTTTCTTTTTTCTTATCCCCAGATCCCACGTCTTTTTTGCTTTTTGTGCCATTTTTTTCTGTCGGAAGGTTTCACCTACTAGGCCGGATTTACTCTCCTTCAAGCACAGTTACGTCCAAATCTTGTACTTTGTAAGCTCATAGTAACTGCTGGAAATTCATTGCATGTGCACAATACAGGGTGATTCAACTGCGGCCACCAAAGCGCGTTTTTTGCCTAAAAACCTTTGTTGACAATACAACATGAAGAGTATTGTAAAGTTCAAAGAACGAAACAAATGGGCAAAACATTTGTGCAACTAAGCTTTATTATGGTTTTATACACAAAAGTTTAAATTAAACGGCATTAGTAACTTATATTATAAACCAAGTACCACCGCTAAAAGAAATCGGGGAAGAAAAAGAAAATCGCTATAAGGCTGCACAAATAGAGTGGATTCTTGAGTTTCAAGGGCAAGTTCAAAAGTGTTTAACAAATTAGCCAATGCTCAGAATCTAATGAAATTTTCGCAGTTTCTAGTTCAAAACTCTTGTTTCACTGTGACAAAATTTCAAGTTACCACTCGCT